ATGTATGTGAAGAGTAAAGACTGGTATTTAAAAAAAATATTATATTCATATAAGTTAAACGTTATAAATTCAAATGGTACTAAATATTAATATAACATGATTACTTATTATTGAACTTACTTGTAATGTTCGAACTTGTAGTTGTTTTAGTTGTCGGTGCTCCTATATCAATAATAAAAGAAATAAAAAAAGGTACACATTTATGATGCGCGTTTATTCAGACTGCTGATTCCTTATACACAGGCGAGTGATGTCATTGAAATGCGACGTACTTTGGTGATAATTAGCTCTCTCTCTCTCTCTCTCTTTCTCTCTCTCTCTCCTTTCTACCGTATAGTCGCGATTGACTCCAGCCTGCCAAAAAAGGTTTAACAATTTATTGTTAAATTATTCATGCAATACTAACAAAATTAAGGAACTGATGCAAAAACACTATTTTAGGAAAGGTATCTGGAATAAAGAAGAGCAAAATATCATAAAGGTACAAATTAAAGACTAAGATAAAAAAAGAAGAAAGTTATGCACATTAAAATGATATAAGATGACAATATTAAGAATTAATCATTTAGAAAAAGAACTTTYTAAACAAGACAACTATAGGTATTTYAAATACGCTTGCATGTARTGCTGAAATGAWTATTATGAACTAATTACGATTTTGAGACGACAATAGCACGAAACATTGACGGCTAGTGGGGAGTTCGCGACTCCGCCCAATACCGAATATATTTTCTTCCAACGCCGTCAATATTTCGTGCTATTGTCGTTTCAAAATCGTAATTAGTTTTGTATCGAGATTCTAAAGAATTTAACATACGAAAAAGAAAAAAAAACTGATGACCGATTTTCTTTAATCACAAGCGAAATTCTCCTTACGAGCGCGCGCTATGGCACAAGCAACAAGCGTAAAAATTTGACGCTCTCGCTTCAAGCTCAAGCTCAAGCTTTCCTTTTCGTCGCGCGTCAGCCAATCAGAAACCTTAATTTTGAAACGACAATACCATAAAATATATATTGTCGTCTTAAAATATAGGAGACTATTGAGAGTGAATCGCGATGCTATAATATATGCATATTATAACTGTATATCGGTTGTTAGATTTGCATTGATTGACACGTAATTGTATATGACGATTGCATAATAAACACAAAATACACCACAATTACTGGCGACGAGGATGGCCAAATTGTAAAAATTCGGAGGACTTCTTCTTGAAATAATGTGAGATTTCCTTAGTTTTCACAAACAAAGATGGCCTTTATTGGAAGAATAGAACCATTCGACGAAGCTACAGAAACATGGAGTGCCTACATCGAGCGTTTGGAACAATATTTTACAGTCAACGAGATCAAAACAGAGAAGAAAGTTCCCGCGCTTCTTATGCTACTTGGAAGTAAACTTTATAATCTCTTACGGAATTTAGCAGCCCCAGAAAAGCCTTCTGAGCTTGAGTATGATACCATATGCATCGTACACCTTTTGGAGAGACAACTATCGCCTAAACCGTCTGTAATCACTCAACGTTACCGATTTCATACAAGAATGCAAGACGAAGGAGAAACTATAAACGACTATGTAGCACAACTAAGGAAGTTGGCGATTCACTGCAACTTCGATAACCTGAACGACACACTCAGAGATAGATTAGTATGTGGAATCCGTAATACCGGAATACAGAAAAGATTGCTTTCAGAATCTACGTTATCATTGGAAAAAGCTATCGCAATATCCGTAGCAATGGAAATGGCCGCGAAAGACGCCATTGAATTACAAGGTAAGCACAAA